AACATTCGAGGACGAATGTTCCAAAGGGGGGAATGATGTTACACCCCAAGTTTTCATACGTGAGAGTACGTCGTAATTCATTGATGTATGCTCGAAAATGAGATTATATTTCGAAGCAAATAAAGTAAGTTAATCATGTTAACGTGGAGGTTACAAATATTTAAGATCATTAGTACCAAGTAGCAAGAGGGTTTGAAGGCTTAGAAGCTAAACGAATTGAAGAAAATAAGTTTCGCCGAAAGTCGACAAGTTGGAATGTTTTACCATGTACTTTTGGGGTGATACTAGGGTTATTAATATTATAAGGAGATTAAATTATGAGTTGTTTTAGTCGTACGATAGTTGGTGTTATGTTTTGAAGTCAAGCGAGTTGTGGAACAAAAGTTGGAAAAAGGTCATCACAAGTTCCATTCATAAATGTGCTGAAAATTAGGTCAAATGTAACTGATATTTTCTCCCAAAATACTTGGAATTAGGGGATGATCTACCTATCAAATTAAAGATCTATGAGTCTAGTTTCCAACTCATTAAACCGTTCATCAATACGACATCGGAGTAAAGAGATATAGGCACTTTCGCGAGACTGCACAAGCTGCTAGGTGACAAGTAGGTGTGTCACCTACTTGGTTAAATGATAGCCCAAAAATAGGAAATTTCGGGTCGGCCAAAGAGCCCATTTAAAGGGTTATTTCCTGCAATATAACCCTCCTTATATATCACAAATAACCAGACCTAAACCCCTGCAAAATTCCTCCCAAAAATTATCCACAAACCCTAATCGATTTTCCCTCTCTTTCAAGTTCTAATTGGGGGTAAAACCTAGAGTTTGAAGAACCAAGGGAAGGGCTGAGTTATCCATCAAGTAAGGTGAGTTTACTGCTCTTTTTCATACATTTATTCTTCTGTGAATTCATGGTAATTCATTCTATACATGTAAGAACTCACGGGACGGTGATCGGAAGCCGTGAGTTCGAGTTATTCACTTGTAGCGGACTGTTTTGTGGACTGTTTTGTGTTGCTGTTGGGCTGCGTGTTTTACTACTGTTTTGTGGAGTTTTGGAGGAGGAAGGATGTGGAAAAACACCATATAGATGTAGGGTTGTGGGCTGGTAGTTCTTTGTAACATTTCCGGGTCGTTTGACACGACTACGGTGGCCGTCGTATGTATGAAGTGATTAGGTTGTGCGTGGACTGTTTTGGGAGGCTCAATATGATTATTATTGATGTTGTTTGGGCTGTTTTGTGATTGTTTGGAATTGTGTGAAGTCATATATATAGGGGAGGTGCTGTCCGTTTCATCGTAAAATAGGTTGTGGTCGATACATAATAGTTATGACGCTTGAATGATAACTACAGTATCGTTTCTCTTATTGTAGACTAAGGAGTCGTGAAAATTGCATAGCTTGAGATTGGGGCAGTATATACAAGGTATGTTAAGGCTCTTCCTTCATTCTTTTGGCATGATCTAAAGTGAAACGAACATAAACGAAACGCTATTTCATAATGAATCTACTCCTAGCAACTAAGGTTGTCCATGTTATTCTTTCCTTACAAAGTTATTCCAAGAAAGTGTATATGATCCTTAAGTCCTAGTGAAGTTCATATTGATGGTATGATGTCCATAATGTTAATTGATGGTGCAATGACCTTATGTCACTCCAAAAGGTTTAGAACGTGACTCCATGAGTCCAGCATACATTATATATGTATCTATTTAATCTACCGAGCCGCGCTATAGTCGGCCGGGTATGGCACCTATTGTGCAACCACTGATCAGTTGGGTTTACCGAGCTCCACGTGGCCGGGTACGTTTTTACCGAGTCCTCTTTGAGGCCGGGTATGATATGATGATGATGATGCCCACAGAGGCGTATGTTTTTAAAAGTTTATGTACATATATCTATTATGCATTTCATGTCAGTAGCCCCCAGAGGCACTCAGATGTTACAGGTTGTATCTCCTCTATCTTTCTTTACATTACTGTTCTTATTTATGCTTTCCTGCCTTACATACTCGGTACTTTATTCGTACTGACGTCCCTTTTGCCTGGGGACGCTGCGTTTCATGCCCGCAGGTCCCGATAGACAGGTTGACATTCCTCCTAGTAGGCTATCAGCTCAGCGAAGGTGTTGGTGTACTCCACTTGCTCTGGAGTTGCCTATTTGGTCAGTATGCTTTGGATATGTATTGATTGGTATGGCGGGGCCCTGTCCCGACCTTTATGATATTAGGTACTCTTAGAGGCTTGTAGACATATGTCAGGTGTATGGATACTTGTATGGCTTTTCGGCTTATGTTTTGAGTTTACAAATGGCCATGTCGGCCTTATAGGCCCGTATGTCACATGTATAAGTTTGCATATCATGGTGGGTCGTCAGATGTTGAGTATTCTTCTATGTTTCATTCTTGTTATCTCATGACGAGTTTTCTAGCTCATTTACCATGATAGTATGATAAGAAAGATATGTTATGTTGGTACTCGATTGAGTAAGGCACCGGGTGCTCGTCGCAGCCCATCCGGTTTGGGTCGTGACACAACGGATGTTGTTCCTTTCAATTTTTGTATTCCAGATTCGGGCATTCGGTCGGGTTCTAAACACATGAAAAAGGATTGAACAACAAACAGGACAAGAACATTTGGCAAAATCATCGTAGGTTCGCCTTCATAGTTGCGTTCTTGGGAATCATAGTCTTTCCAAATGCTGAAGGGACGGTAGATGCCCGCATAGCTAGAGTTGCACAAACCCTTATTACAAAGAAAGATCACACACTTGCTCCTCTAGTACTGGCGGATATTTACCGGGCATTGATATTGTGTAGATCCGGGGCTCAATTCTCCGAAGGCTGCAGTATTCTTCTACAAATGTGGTTGATCGAGCATCTCCGCCATCACCCCAAATTCATGAGCTATGGTTCAAGCAAAGATAACTTCATCAAAAGCTATGAGGAAAGGGTGAAAGATTACAACGCTCCAGAAGGGTTTGAAGCTTGGATCTCCCATTTGAAAGCTCTAAAAGCAAGTCAAGTCGAATGGACTATAGGATGGCTCCCGATGACAGAAATCATATATATGACAGCTACAAAGGGTTATTTGATGTTGATGGGTTTGAGGAGTGTCCAGCCGTATGCACCACAGAGGGTCTTAAGGCAGTTTGGGAGATATCAGGAGGTTCCAGAAGATGAAGATCTAACCACCCAGGTCATCAAAATCCATCCAGAGGCCGCGTTGCTCGAGGCTTTAGTCCAGCAGGATTGGAACAGTTGCTGGTATCTGAAAAATGGCACCCAGGTACCAGATGTGGCCAAAGGGGAAGTGAATCTGAATTGTGCAGCGTGGTTTGAAAGAAAGTCAGGTGCAAGCAATGAGCCGGAGCCCGAACCGGAGCCCGAGAGACCAACAAAAAGACCGCATGTGCAGGCTTTTGATGACAAAGTCAGGGAAAGGTTGGCCTAGGGAGAAAGGAGAAAAAGTATCAAGCAACCATCCACACTCTGGAATAGAAATTGAGAAACGTTGAGTTTAATAATGATCTACAAATGCAAGAAGCTGAAGGAGAAAGAAGGAAATTGGCCCAGGAAAATGACGCCCTACGAGCTCAAATTCAAAGAATGAAAATCGCCGCTGAAAATCTGGCCAGAAGTAGACAAGATGAGAAGCCCATAAACGCCCTTAGGAGAAAGGTGTGTGATTACGAGGCTGACCTGGAAAAGACCGAAAAGGAATTAGTAAAATCCCAAGCCAAGTTAGCTAAGAATGCGGAGGGACGGGCAAGCTTCGTCCGACAGCTGAAGGAGAAGTACGACAAAGGAATATTGGGTCTAAAGAAAAGGGTCAATGTCCTTGAAAATGAAATGACCAAGCAGGCAAGAGATTTCAAAGCAGATATAGGGAACATTGCTATGCCCTGATGTCACAGTTAGAAAAGGACTTGCAGCAGCTTCAAGAGCAAAATCATACTGCCGAACAAGTTTTAGGGGCCCGATCTCAGCATATTAGATGGTTGCTACAAGAGAAGGGTATTATCAGGGAAGGGGTTAGGAGGATTGCGGACTACATTGTGATGAAGTGCAATGAGTGTGAAGACATGACCCAGTCCATTTTCTTCGCTTCAATTATGATTTTTGTCCGACAAATCATGGATGACCTGTTTCGCCTCCAGGAAGACATGGCGCATAGAATTGCAGCAAGCCAACTGGAGCAGCAGTGGAAGCACTTATGTATTCTTGATTTTTCGAGTCTGTGTTGCAGTTTCTTTTAAAGTCTATCAGTCCATTTTGAGTCTTGTTTGAGCTTTTGAAAATGTTTCAATCTGTAGGAAAGTCGTTGTAATCAGGATGTTTCTATCTTGTTTTATTTTATGAAATTTGAAGGGAAAAAAAACAAAAATGTGTTTTCTTTTATTCGCATTTACTTCCTAGAACTACGCTTGGTCTGATTCATGCGGCGTCATGATACGTAGGCAATCCCCATAGGATTTGATCATAACCATAAAATGAAAAGAAAAAAAGAGTGGAAATAAAATAAATTGAGGGGAAAGAAATAATGTCAAAACAAGAGAGGAAAGACAATGCGAGAATAAAATAAGGAAAAAAGAACCAACAAAGAAAGGCGGGAATGAAAAGGAAAGAGAAAAAGAAAAATGCAAAATGAAAAGAATTAGTGGAAGCCGGGATGAAGCATGCAGCCATTCAAATGCATAATAGAAATGGTTAACTGCTTAGGTGCATTGCATCCCCAACGTGCGGTTGCCTATCTGTTAAGCTCTTAATTGCTAACAAGTTTGCTTGTTGTCATCAAGTACAGGCAGGTGGTTAGTTTGTTCGGCATTCTGGCAAGTCACCCGTACAATACCAGATCTAAGAACAAGGCTAACATGGTTGTCAAAGAATTGGATTCGAGTGTTATTGACCTGCCAAGGGAGGTAGAAGAGTCTGAGCCCAGTATGAAAGAAGAGTTGCATAAGCTGAAAAAACAGATGGCTGAAATCTACTAGGCATGGATGAAAGGGCATCCTCGCCCATCATACCCTGCCAACCCCACTTTCGTCCCACCACTGCCTCAAGAACCCCCTGTCATCGATCTATCCCCACAACATACTCCAAGCTTCAACCCTTACCACCACTATACGGGCTCCTCCTCCCAAACTGCCCGAGCTCCACTAACCAAACCAACCACATGTCCCCCTCCACCAGCTACCCCTATTTTCGTGGAGCCTCCACCATCCACCCTCCACCGGTCTTCAGAGAACCGGCACTCCAAGCCCAAGACAACCAGTATTACGCCCCGGAGCCCACCTTCAAAATCCCAGATCATTACTCATATACCCCCCCGTTTCAATCTTCCTATCGAGACCGAGAAATTACCCAAAAACCCAGAACAGGAGGAGATGTTCAGGAAGGTAAGAAGCCTAGAACAATCGTTCAGAAATATGCAGGTATTGGGAGGCCAAGTGAGCGTGGCCTACAAAGATCTATGTTTGTTTCCTGATGTCCAGTTACCTGCTGGGTTCAAAATGCCCAAATTCGACTTATATGACGGGCACGGGGACCCTTTGGCCCACTTAAGGGGATTTTGCAGCAAAATGAGAGGAGCCGGTGGGAGAGATGAGTTGTAATTGGCATACTTCAGCCAGAGTCTGAGTGGCGCGGCATTAGAGTGGTACACGCGTTAGGATCACAGCAGATGGTATACCTGGGATGATTTGGCCCAAGCATTTGCGCGGCACTTCCAATATAACATAGAAATTGTTCCAGATCGTTTGTCTTTAACCAAGATAGAGAAGAAATCAGGAGAAAGCTTCAGGGAATATGGTTTTCGCTGGAGGGAATAGGCAGCAAGAGTTAACCCTCCGATGGTGGAAAGCGAGATGGTGGAGTACATTCTGCAGGCTCTTGAGCCTACTTACTTTGGTCATCTGATATCGGCCATAGGTAAGTCTTTCAACGAGGTAATGAAGATGGGCGGTATGGTAGAAGAAGGGCTTAAATCAAGCAAACTCATAGAGCTACTCAGCTATCAAAGCAACCACCCAAGCTATTTAGAATGGTACTGGAGGAGTGATTGGAAAGAAGATGTTGCAATAGTTGACTCAAGATCGTGGCACGGTCCGGGGGGCACCCCACACCATTACACCCATCCTCGACCCCATCACCGAACCTACACCCAAACCCCATATAATCCACCTCAACACTAATTTCCACCACCAGAACCTCAGTTTTCTGTCCACCACGCCTAGTTATACACTCAACCTCCTTCTTGCCCACAATGGCGTGCCCCCACCCCACAGAACACCTACCCAGCTCCACAAAATGCTTACCCACCTCCACGAACCTACCAAAACCCTGCCGGTCCAGGTTTCCGGCCCAAGCCAGTATTCAGGAACGAGAGGTTGCAGCGGAAGAAAACTTTCACCCAGTTGGGGGAATCTTACCAGCTTATTCTAGAGATTGAGGCAGTTGGATGTGCTGAGGCCAATTGAGTCGAGACTGCCAAACCCTCCTCTAAAGAATTTGGATTACTCCCTCAGTTGTGCATATTGTTCTGGTACTCCGGGGCATGATACGGAAAAGTGTTGGGCACTTGAAAAATGCCATCCAAGAGCTCATAGACACAAACCAGATTGTGGTCCAAACTCCGGAAGCACCCAACATCAATCAGAACCCGTTGCCAGCCCATGATGAAACAAACATGATCGAGATAGTACACAAGGATGGGGAGCCCAAGAAGCCTTCACAATCCATCATGATGATCCGGTCTAGTGAGGTTAAGCCAGTCAAGGGTGCAGTTGTCACAAAAGCCACTTCTTCGATAGCTGAAGGATTAGCAGACAAGTTGAGCATGCCAGTTTATAAGCCATCTGTGGTAATTGAGCAGAGATCTCCAAGTGATGCTCTAGCAAAGCAAGAAAAGTCAAAGGTGATCGTGTCAGGGTTGGCAAACAAGCCCATCATAATTGTAGAGGGTGCCCGCACGGACCCTGTCATCATCAAGCCTGTGACCCAGCTGCTGGTAATCAACACCAAGGCTATCCCATGGAACTATGAGCGGGTGATAGTGACCTATAAGGGGAAGGAAGTGAAATAAGAAGTTAATGAGGCCCAGGGATTAACTCGTTCAGGGAGATGCTTTGCCCCGGAAGAGTTAAGGAAAGCTAAAACACTCAGAGATAATCCAGTTCTAGTAAAGAAACTAGCCACTGAAGAAGAGGCGGAGGAGTTTTTGAGAAAAATGAAGGTACAAGATTACTCCATCGTAGAACAGTTGAGAAAGACTCCTGCTCAGATTTCCTTGCTATTATTGTTGATCCATTCAGATGAGCATCATTGGGCCTTGATGAAAATTCTGAACGAAGCTCATGTCCCCAACAAAATTACAGTGAACCATTTGGAGAAGATTGCAAGATATTCGAGGTGAACAGAGTCATTTTCTCTGATGACGAGTTGCCTGTGGAAGGTACCGAACACAACAAAGCTCTCTATCTTACAATGAAATGTGAAGATTCTGTGGTCACTAGGGTGCTGGTGGATAATGGTTCCAGTGCGAACATTTTCCCTCTCTCCACTCTGCACAAGTTGAAAATTGATACTAAAAGGGGTCCACAAGAACAGTATATGTTTCCGAGGTTTTGACGGAGGGGGAAAAGATTCTGTTGGGGATATTGTGCTCGAACTGACAATAGGGCCAGTTGAATTTACCATGGAGTTCCAGGTACTGGACATGTCCGTCTCTTACAATTTGCTATTAGGTCGGCCCTGGATACATGCTGCCAAAGCAGTCCCGTCCTCTTTGCACCAGATGGTCAAGTTCGAGTGGGACAGACAGGAGATTGTCATGCATGGTGATGAAAGCTCGGTTGCTTACAATGATGCCTCCGTCCCGTTTATTGAGGCCGAAGACGATCAGGGGCCTTGGGTCTACCAAGTTTCTGAAATAGTGACAGTTGAGAAGGTCCCAGAAGGGAAATGTATTCCAACTCCAAGGTTAGCCTCCGCATCTGTCATGGTGGCATCTGAAATGCTGAAGAATGGTTTTGTGCCAGGCAAAGACCCAGGCGCTTCTTTACAAGGTATCGTGCAGCCAGTGTTTCTGCCTAACAACTTGGATACGTTTGGTCTAGGATTCAAACCCATATCGGCAGACGTGAAAAGGGCTAAAAGGTTGAAACAGAAGGCGTGGGCACTTCCGAAGCATATCCGGCGTCTCTCCAGGTCATTTGTCAAGCCCGGTGCCGTGAAACGCCCAGTGTCAGCAGTTCTCAATCCTGTGGTTGACGTTGATGAAGAGTTAATTGAAAGGTTCCTGAGGTGGTTTGATGATTTGAACATGGTGGAAATTGGAGAAGGTTCCAACAAAGCGGATGTGCAGTTCGTCGGGCCGAAAGTAAAGCTTAACAATTAGAAGGCTACTCCTCTCCCTACTCGGAAGGAGTTGTGGTAGTTTGCTTTGTTTTCCTTTCTATCTGGGTTATTCCAGGGTTGTTACCCAGATTTTTTATTTTTCGCTTGTTTGATGTATAAACCTTGTTATCCTTTATTTTCAATGAAATGCAATTTCCCTTTTCCATCATTCCTAATAGTTTTTATTTTTGTTTTCTTTTCTTCCTTGTACAGTTCTTTTTATGATGGTTTCAATACATGACATACTTGAGGAATCTTCGGCCAAGTCTTAAAAGTCAATCTAATTCTGAAATAATAATCCAAGAATAGAGTGTGATGATGAAACAGAATATGATGAGGATGAGGCATTTGAGGAAATTAGTAAATAACTAAATCATTTTGAAGAAAAACCCAAGCCTAACTTGAATGAAACCAAAGCAATCAATTTAGGAGATCTAGATAATGTCAGAGAAACCAAGATAAGTGTCCATCTTGAACCACAAATCAGGGAAGAAATAATCAAAGCATTGTTTGAATATAAGGATATTTTTGCATGGTCGTATGATGACATGCCGGGCTTGAGTACCGACTTTGTAGTCCACAAATTTCCAACTGATCCAGCTTTCCCTCCCGTCAAGCAGAAATTAAGGAAGTTTAAGACCGATATGAGTGTGAAGACCAAAGAAGAAGTCACAAAGCAGCTTGATGCAAAGGTCATTCGAGTCACGCGGTATCCCACGTGGTTAGCTAATGTTGTGCCTGTGCCAAAGAAAGATGGTAAGACCAGAGTATGTGTTGATTACCGTGACCTCAACAAAGCAAGTCCGAAGGATAACTTCCCGTTGCCAAATATTTACATTTTGATTGATAATTGTGCCAAGCATGAGATTGGGTCTTTTGTCGACTGCTATGCGGGATATCATCAAATCTTAATGGATGAGGAAGATGCGGAGAAGACAGCATTCATCACGCCACGGGGAACATATTTCTACCGGGTCATGCCATTTGGTTTGAAAGATGCTGGGGCAACTTACATGAGGGCAATGACTACCATATTCCATGACATGATACACAAGGAGATTGAGGTTTACGTGGATGGTGTGATCATAAAGTCCAGGAAGTAGTCCGATCACGTTAGGGACCTGAGAAAGTTCTTCTAGAGGCTCCGCAGGTACAATATTAAGCTTAACCCTGCAAAGTGTGCATTTGGTGTTCTGTCTGGAAAGTTGATAGGATTCATAGTCAGTCGACGAGGCATTGACCTGGGTCCGTCAAAATCAAAGCTATCTAGGAATTGCCACCTCCAAGGAACAAGACTGAGGTGATGAGTTTGCTGGGGCGTTTAAACTACATCAGCAGGTTTATTGCTCAACTGATGACAACCTGTGAGCCCATATTCAAGTTGCCAAAGAAGGATGCCGCGGTCAAATGGACTGATGAGTGCCAGGAAGCATTCGATAAGATCAAGGAGTATTTGTCAAACCCGCCTGTGTTGGTCCCGCTGGAACCTGGGAGACCTTTGATTCTTTATTTGACATTCCTGGATAATTCATTTGGCTGTGTGTTGGGTCAACATGATATCACTGGCAGGAAAGAGCAGGCCATCTACTATCTCAGCAAAAAGTTCACATCCTATGAGGTTAAGTATACTCCCCTTGAAAGGACATGTTGCGCCCTGACTTGGGTAGCGCAGAAGTTGAAGCATTATCTGTAATCTTATACTACTTACCTCATTTCTCTCCTGGATCCTTTAAAGTATATCTTTCCGAAGCCTATGCGTACGGGAAGACTCGCAAAGTGGCAGATTTTGCTCATAGAGTTTGACATCGTCTATATGACTCGAATGGCGATGAAAGCCCAAGCTTTGGCCGATCATTTAGCCGATAACCCGGTGGATGAGGAATATGAACCTTTGAAGACTTACTTTCCTGATGAAGAGGTAATGCATATTGATGAGGTCGAGCAGGATGAAAAGCCCGGTTGGAAACTCTTCTTTGATGGGGCTGCCAACATGAAAGGTGTTGGGATAGGAGCTGTGCTCATTTCTAAAATAGGGCACCACTACCCTGTCACAGCTCAGCTTCGTTTCTATTGCACCAACAACATGGCTGAGTACGAAGCATGCATTCTGGGTTTAAGGTTAGCTGTGGACATGGGAGTCCAGGAAGTGCTAGTTTTGGGAGATTCAGATCTATTAGTGCACCAGATTCAGGGAGAATGGGACACTCGAGATTTGAAGCTCATACCATATCGACAATGTCTGCAGGATCTTTGTCAGCGATTCAGATCAGTGGAATTCAGGCATATCGCTAGGATTCATAATGAGGTTGCTGATGCTTGGCTACTCTGACGTCGATGTTACATCATCCGGATAAGGCTTATATTGACCCTTTACATATTCAGGTCCGTGATCAGCATGCTTACTGTAACATGGTGGACGAAGAACTTGATGGTGAACCATGGTTCCATTATACCAGGGAATACATCAGGGCGGGGGTATATCCGGTACAAGCCACAGGTGATCAAAAGAGAACAATTCGACGTCTGGCTAGTGGATTTTTCTTGAGCGAGGGAATTTTGTACAAAAGAACCCCAGATCTTGGGTTGTTGTGGTGCATAGATGCTAAGCAAGCCATGACTATCATGACCGAAGTACATTCCGGAGTTTGCAGGCCACATATGAGTGGGTATGTTCTGGCAAAGAAGATTCTTCGAGCAGGGTATTATTGGCTCACCATTAAACGAGATTGCATCAGCTTTGTGCGTAAGTGTCATTAATGCCAGGTGCACGGTGATTTGATCCATTCTCCCCCGTCTGAATTGCATACAATGTTCGTATCTTGGCACTTCGTTGCTTGGGGCATGGATGTCATCGAACCAATTGAGCCAGCAGCATCCAACGGGCACAGGTTCATTCTGGTGGCCATCGATTATTTCACTAAGTGGGTTGAAGCTATGACTTTCAAATCTGTGACCAAGAAAGCAGTGGTTGACTTTGTCCACTCGAACATCATTTGCCGGTTCGGAATTCCAAAGGTAATCATCACAGACAATGGTGCTAATCTTAATAGCCATTTGATGAAAGAAGTATGCCAGCAGTTCA